ATAAAATAATTAAATTGATTTGATGTAAAAGTATGAGAGAGATGATATGATATGATATGATGGTTAATTAAAATTATGTGAGTAGATGAATAGTGAATTAAAGTTGATATGATGTATAAAAATGATTGGTTGTTATTATTTTATTATATTGATAATATTAAAAATATTGAGGTTGAGTTAAATTTTGAGTAGAATTAATTTGGTTTTAGTATATTGTTGGTGTTTCATTAAATAACCTTGGTTGTCTTGTCTACATAATCAATTACTGCTAAACCAACAACTAACATAAAGCTCTATCACTCAGACGTATATATTTCTTTTACATACAATATTTGGCTCATGGAACTCAGTTAACATTTCGTAGCATATGTTATAACGTGTTTTATTTGAATTACAATACTTCAATTTTTAACTAGTAGGCACATAGCAAGTTACTCTTCACCTATCTAGAGCTGGATCGTTTTAACAATTTCAAACGAACAAATAAGATTGATTAACCAAATAGGTAACTAATGGAGAAGAGATTGCATTGGTTTTCTTGACAAGCATAATCATTGACATCTTTAGTTTAGTTATTTATTATTTTTATTATTATTGTTATTCAAATATTTTCGTTTTTTATTTAGTTGATAAGTTTATAGTTAGTAAGGCTCTATCATGAGAGGTATTTAAGACTCATACTCCATTATTTAGAATTAGTTGATTTCGCTTGAGTATACAAAAAAAAAAAAAATGAGAGTTCTCTATCAATCTCTCTCGCGTTTACGCTTTTGCTATGGTATCAGTAGACCAGATATGATTCCTACGTCATGCTGCCCAAATGAAACGACGCTGTAGATGATAGACGCGACGCTGAGATCACGACATTTGGCCTCCAATTCGAGATGGAGGAGATCTGTGTGGCGCTAACCACACTTGGCAACGGCGAGTATGAGCACCGTGGGCTCGACGCTATGCGTGGTGGCCGCGGGGAGGGTGCAGTGGACGCGGTCGGGGTCAATGATGTGCGTCTCGCTCACGATCCCCTCCTTTGTACTTTGGGTATGATGATCAAGAAGACACCATCTCCGAGGTGAATTCGTTCAACACGTTCACGACGTGAGACGACGGGCGACTCGTCAATGACCAACGATGGGAGTTGTCTTTGAGGATCAATATCCCCGAAATTTTAGGGGGCCTTGAAGCCACCGACTTCATGGATTGGATCAACGCGATCGAATGTATCCTCGACTGAAGGAGGTGTCAGACGATCAGAGGGTTATGCTGGTCACAACACGACTTCGAGGCCGAGCTTCTACTTGCTAGTAGAAATTCAAGAAAGCGAGGCAGCAATAGGGTAAATTGGAAGTTGCGATCAGAGGGTTATCGCAGTGAGCTCCCATGGTACTGCTGCTAGAGCCCTCGACCTCGTCTTTTTTCTCGTTGTCGCAGTATGGTTTATTGCGTTCGACACCTGCTGCTGGGCATATCTAGTAGCAACGGCCTCCGCAATCAACACCAGCGTAAAAATATATAGTAGCTACAACACACTACCACACCCTCAATAAACAATTTTTTGAGAATTCACTCTCCTGGAAGATCGGCAATACCGTTTGTTTATTAGTTTTTTGCACTTTTAATTCCTCTATACCAATTATGTTGATGATCAACTAAAATTGTTACCTAATCTCCCTTAGCACACTATTAGTCCTACAACTAAGACCGTTGACGATCGCTCGTCAACAAAGTATAAGTGGAAGATTGATGGTTTGTATACTGAAAACATTACTTCATTTAAACTCATTTTCGTTTTGAATAAAAGAATCATGTATAGTCAATTGTTGTGCAGTTTACTTTGTATGGATTTGTCATTTGTCCTGTTATTCACACTGAAAATAATAGTGTGGCGACGTCGCACATAAGAATATCGGTTTCTGATGCAATATAAATAAGGCTCATAATCGAGATTGTATGAAAAAAATCAGTGTTATAGAAGTCACGAGGCGCCAGCTTGGAGGTCGACCAGCGCCTAGATGAGGCCTATAAATTAAAATTAAATACCTTATTTTTATTTATTTTCACTACCTACAAAATAAAGTTATCTCAACTTATAATAAATCCACGCACCTAAGTCCAAATAATAATATTAATATATTATGAAAAAAACACGATAACAAAATAATATAATTAGTATTTAAAAAAATAAAAAATTACCGTCGAGCCTGCCTAGGAGCGCCTAGGCCCGCCTAGGTGCCGCCCAACCACCGAACCTACCTAAGAGCGTGTAGGCGCCTGACAGATTTTTTGAACCAATTCATGCATATCGGAGGCAGTTGAGCAACGCCTAGCTCCTAGGTGGCCAGTTAGGCCAATTTTTAGTACAAATAAAAAACCTATTGGTATGGTTATAGTATAACTTGAGTTAGTTTATCTTAACTAATGAATTATACTAGTACACTTTGTGTGGGTTGAAGGCCCCCAGAGAAGAAGTTTATTTTATACTGACCAAGTAAATAAATTAGATATCATGACATTCTTCGTACTCTTAAATCGTTTGATAATGATAGACACGTGTGATTAATAATTATTCTTTGATTCATCAAAGAGTGAGACTTAGTTTCTTAGGCAATAACTCAGTGACTTGAGAATTATTATTAATCACAAGGTGTGTTGTCGATTATACTTGTTCACTGTGTAATAGTGCTCCTGGTTGATGACATTTCTGAGATGAGATCAAAAGGTTTATTATGTCAAGCCCTGCAGGTGACTTTAGTTCTAGCATAATAATAAAAATTGAGTGGTACTAGTTTCAAAAATCAAGAAGTTAATTAATTAAATTATTAAATTAACTTAATTAACTAACGTTATATCTTTTACGCAAGGAGATAAACCAAAGATAGTGGAGCCCATATAATTAGGGTGATGAAAAGTTAATGCATCAATAAATATTTAATGAAATTATGTATCACAAATGGCCCAAGAAATAAGGTGGACTATAGTCTAAGTATTTCTTGGCCCATTGGGAGATTTTTTTATAATCTCCTTAAGGTTCACTATTGTAGTCTATAAATAAATCATGTGGGGAATTTATTCTCAATCAATAGACATCATTACAACACGCCTAGCCGCATAAACAATGGGCTAAGCGAGCGAATTTGAGAGTGCAAGAGAGAGGATTCTGGCCATACGATTTCGGGATATCGTCGCCCACACAATGTCCAACCAAGGTGAAAAGAATACAACAGAAGACTTGAGGTGACGGGCGTCGCACGACGCACACACGCGATGCATGACACACACAGCCGCAAACGACGCACATGACACATGATCCATCAGCGATGCACGCGACCTACTGATGACACACAACTAGCGGTGATCGACAGTGTGACCCGCGACGCAACAAGCAGGCATCGACGAGATGAGCAACACACGAACGAGACGGACGAGTCAGAACCGTTTGTCCAGCCCCGTAGGCTGTATAAGTCTACTCATAGTCGCATTAATCAAACTCGTAAGATCTTGATCCAAAACTTTAGATTCCGTTGTGCTTTAGGATTAATTTCTTAGGATTTAACTTGAGAATAATAACCGACGTTTTTACGCTGAACACAACAATCCACGCGAATAATATTTTATTCTACTAAAGGAATATTATTGAACTTCCTTTTTAAATCCCAAATTATATATTTGACTTAAGATTTATTCTCTCGTTTTATCTCCACATGTTTAAGATACCTCTGTTAATTAAGTTAACTAGTAAAAATTTAACTAATTAACCTTTTTATTCTAAAATTAGTACCACTCAACCTTATTATTATGCCGAAAATTAATCTACATGTTGGTTTAACATAGCAAACATTTTCAGATTATTTTTTAGACATTATCAACCCAACGCACTAGGACACATTTTTCGCAAATAATTAGTGGTGCATCTATTGAGTTCGGTGAAGAACGTCGATCAATATGCATACTCGAATTCCTAAGAATTTCATCATAAGCGCAACGGATCAGGAGTTAGGATTAGAAACTTACAGTTTAAAACTTTGTCGACTCTCAGTCGTTTTAACAATCTACGGGTTTGTGCTAACGGACCACCCTTTGATCTTCTGTCGTATGTCCTGACACCTCTCCTGCACGTCTGGTGGGTGACGGTTCTCCCGAAGTTTCCCTTGAACCTTACGTGATAGGTCTTTAGCAAAGGAGGAAGATCTTGTATTTTGAAAACAATATACTTCTCTCTCTTGCAACTTCTCAAACTCTCTTTTTCTCTCCCTTTCTCACGATTTGGGTGTGTAAAATCAAGTGAATAAGAGGAGTAGAATTGGTGTATTTATAGGCTACAACGGAGACCTAAATGAGATGCCAAATAAAGACTCCTCATTAGATTATGCAATTTAGGTTCTGGTCCATCAAGGCCGCTTAATCTGCCTAGAGGTGACTCATTTCACAATGGCCAAGCCAACTTAGGCAGCATTTAGTTCACCTAGACAACGTTTAATTGATCGAGCGTCTAGAAAGGTCGTCTAAACGAACAGGCTGCTCGTTTGAAGAATGTTGTTTAAGAATTATGCAAGTGTTGATGTTAGACTGTTCAACTGTTAGACGATAATATTTAAATAAATATAAATGAAAAATGAATTATGTATTTGATGTACCACGCTAATTTCATTATCCCAATGTTATACTATACTCAATTATGTACTGTATGTACCACATTAGTTTCATTATCGTACTTTATTATTGAAGACAATTGTAGAAGGATTGATCGAGTGGAGGCTGCGTTTTTATTTTATTAATTAATTAATTAATAGTTTTCTAAAGCCACTTGCCTTGTCTCATTTGGAACCGAGCAAGCACCCCTCCCTCGGGAAATTTTCATCTCATATATATAATTGTTTTATTTTTTATGAAAATATATATATTTTTTTGCCATTCTATTGCCCATACAGTTAACTGAACCGGGGATAACAATGCATTGCACTGTTTATTATATTATTATTGTTGTTGTTGTTAAGCATTTATTTAATATTAATATTTAAACAAAAGTGCGTCCAAGTTCTCTTCATGTAGAACCCCAACGCACCCCCCACCTATCCCTTCTTTAGATTTCCTCTCTCTTTTCCTCTCATTTCAATTTTTCAACTGCCTTTCTCCGCATTGCAATTTGCAAAACAACGGCTTTCACACCCTATAATACGGATACTTCTCAAACATACTCACAGAGCACAATCCCTCTCTCTCTCTCGCTCCTCTCCCTCTCTCTCTCTCTCCAACAAATTTCTTTTCTGAAGAAATTTAGTCCTCATGTAATTGTAATGTAAAGAGAAAATGAAAATTGGTGAGACATCTATGGGAAGAATCCTACGACTCATTTGCTGTAGAGACTGCGTAGAGAGATGTGAATCCGTGTACGTATGAGCTCGAGCACGACCATTTAGAGTTTGCTTGTCCTGTTGCTGTGTAAAACAGAATATTTGAATAATTTTTTGGTTTCAACGGTTTAATATCGCTCGAGGGCTGTCTGATTTATATGGATTTATCAGTGGGTTCTGATTCTGTTGAGCAGTGGATTAGATTTTTGCATTGGGCGATGGCATCGCAGTGGTTCTCGGCGCGCAGATGATCGGCGAACCTTTTACTGCATGAAATGCGGTGGTGAGATCTGCAGATTACCAGTTTCCGAGTAATTTTTTCAGGTATAATTTAATTTATTCATCTTGCTATTATTTAATTATAATTTATTTATTTATGTATTTTTTGTGAGTGTATTTTGCTGGATTTGGTTTTCCGCTCAATTACTTGTTGGTCTTTGGTCATGGCGACTCCACTGTTTAAGTTGTAATTTTCTAAGGTTTTGGCTAGATTGATCTGATGTCTTCAATTTGAACGACTGGGAGATTTTTTATTTGGTTATGCTCAGTCACAGGTGTAAAGAGGCGAAATAAAATAAAATTTAAAAAAAAAAAAAATGAAATATTTATAGTTTTGTTCTTTGTATTTTATATTGACTTGGTGGTGGTGGTGGGTCAGATCATTTCATATCTGCAATTAGTTATTTATTCCTGTATCCCCATATATGTATATATGGTTAGAGCGTATGCCTAGCCAATTTTAACACATGATTGTGATTTGTATAACTATATTTGTGTTTTTGATTTGATCAGACTTCTCCAAAACAGGAAAGACAACACAATTCGATTTCTTCTTCAGTGAGCTCTTGTTAATCACAACGAAAAACCGAGAAAAAAAAAAATGGATTGAACAAATCAAACGCATCTGATGCAAATGTTAAAGCTATTGGCATCTTGCTGCTTGTTTATATCCCTCTTTCTTCCACTACACGCGGCTGAAAATGGGCTCCGTTGCAACTGTGACGAGGACGGACTTTGGACCGTCGAGAACATCATGGAGTGCCAGAGGATAAGCGACTTTCTCATTGCAGTTGCTTATTTCTCAATCCCGATCGAACTTCTCTACTTTGTGAGCTGCTCGAACATCCCCTTCAAATGGGTTCTTTTCCAGTTCATCGCCTTCATAGTCCTCTGTGGCGCTACCCACCTTCTCAATGGGTGGACCTACGGTCCCCACTCCTTCCAGCTCACACTCGCCCTCACAATCTTCAAATTCCTAACGGCCCTAGTCTCGTTCGCAACAGCCATAACCCTCATAACACTCATCCCCTTACTTCTCAAGGTGAAAGTGAGGGAGTTCATGCTTAGGAAGAAGACATCGGACCTCGACCGTGAGGTCGGGATCATAAAGAAGCAGAACGAGGCTGGGGTCCACGTACGCATGCTGACTCAGGAGATTCGAAGGTCCCTCGACCGCCACACGATTCTCTACACGACGTTAGTCGAGCTCTCGAAAACGCTCGGCTTGAAGAACTGCGCCATTTGGATGCCGAACGCAGACAAATCCGACGAGATGAACCTCACACACGAATTAAAGGAAAATAATTCCAAGAACAATCTGAATATCGCGACGAGTGACCGTGACGTAAACGAGATTATTTCAAACGACGGGGTAAAAATACTGAATTCCGATTCTGCCCTTGCTGTTTTAAGTAGTGGAGGGTGTGCCGACCCTGGTTCCGTGGCTGCAATCCGTATGCCGATGCTGAGGGTATCTAATTTCAAGGGCGGAACTCCAGGGATGGTCCCTGCTTGCTACGCTATCCTTGTACTCGTCCTTCCGGAAGGTCAAAATCGAACTTGGACCAATCACGAGCTGGAAATAGTCGAGGTGGTGGCCGACCAGGTGGCTGTGGCCTTATCTCACGCCTCTGTTCTGGAAGAGTCTCGAATGATGAGAGAAAAACTGGTGGAGCAGAATCGGGCACTGCAGCAGGCCCAACAGGACGCCTTGATGGCAAGCCAAGCCCGAAATGCTTTCCAGGCAGTGATGAGCGATGGGATGAGGCGGCCCATGCACTCGGTTTTGGGTTTGCTTTCGGTTTTGCAGGATGAGAAGGATTTGGTGAACGAGCAGAGGCTACTCGTGGACAGCATGGTGAAGACGGGCAATGTGCTCTCGACTTTAATAGCTGACATGATGGATGCTTCCGGAAGGCTGTTCCCTTTGGAAGTGGGGCCTTTTAAGCTGCATCCTTTAGTGCAGGAGGCTGCGTGTTTGTCGAAATGCCTGAGCGCCTACAGAGGCTATGATTTTGCTGTCGAGGTCGACAGGCGCTTGCCGAATGACGTGGTGGGAGATGAGCGGAGGGTATTTCAGGTAATTTTGCACATGGTGGGTAGTTTGTTGGGCGGTGGAGGGGGTGTTCTCGTGATGCGTGTGTTTTTGGACGAAGGGAGCAGAGGATCGAACGAGCGGAGGTGGGCTCGGTCGAGGGACGGGTGTGCTTATGTCAGGGTTGAGGTTGGGGTTTGCCATGCAGGGTTGCAAGCTGGATCTTCGATTGTCCCGTTTGGAGCAAATAGGTATTTCTATGGCAGTGGGGCTGAGGAAAGCACGAGCTTCAGCGCGTGCAAGAAGCTAGTTCAGGTTAGTCATGGTGTCATTTGATCCTGAGTTTATTTGTTTTTAAAGGGATATTGAGAAAACAAAACCAATCGTGTATACTTTGTATACAGATATATCCCACTCGAAATGAGTTTTTTTTTAGTTAACCAGAGTTAATTCTGAAAAAGTTAATATGGTTAGTTGTTAGTGGGATTTTGAGGTTATATTAAATTAAAATGATATTTAAAGTAAAATAATTTAAAGTTGATTTGATGTAAAAATAGGAGAGAGATGATGTGGAGTGATGGTTAGTTAAAATTATGTGAGTAGTGAATTAAAATTGATGTGATTTATTAGAATGATTGTTTGGTATTATTTAATTATTATATTAATAATATTGAAGATAGTGGAGTTGAGTTACAGTTGAGCTAAATTTCGAGTATGAACTGGATAAATTCATAAACAAACACACCCTAGTAATTTTTCTTTTTTAAGAAAAAGGATGGTTACGTTTCACTTTATATTTTTTTTTTATTTTATTTTGTAATTAGACTAATAATTGAAATGATGCAGTTGATGCAAGGAGACATGTGGGTGGTATCAAATCCAGAAGGTTTCGACCAGAGCATGGCTCTCCTTTTACGTCTCCAACTCCGGCCATCGATTTCAACAACAGCCATATCTGAAAATCTATGTGAATCTTCCAATTCAAACTCCTTTTTCCAGGGCCTAAAAGTTGTTTTGGCCGAAGCAGATGATGTTAATCGAGCCGTAACCCGTAAATTGCTCGAGAAGCTTGGGTGCTCAGTCATGGTGGTTGGGTCCGGGTTCGAGTGCCTCAGTGCTCTCGGCCCAGCCACCTCTTTGTGCCAGGTCGTGCTTTTAGATCTCCACTTGCCTGATCTTGATGGGTTAGAAGTCACTTTGAGAATCCGCAAGTTGAGGAGCCGTAATTATGGGCCGTTGATTGTGGGCCTGACCTCAAGTGATGGTGAGGACATTAGGGAGAGGTGTTTGGGGATTGGGATGAACGGCGTGATTAGGAAGCCAGGGACTTTTCAAGAGATTGGTTGTGAGCTCACCCGAGTTTTGGCACAAGCGAATAGGGTAATTTCTTGACCAATGT